TTCTTATGAGGGCCCCCCACCTCGCCAGCTGATTGCAAAGGCTGGGCGGTGACAGAGTTCACGAGCCTTCTGGGAACCCAGGGGACTGAGTACAGCTGGAGGGTGTGTTGGGGAGGGGAGAATGAGCACTGAGGGGCTAGTGACCCGGTGACCAGGGCCCTGTGAGCCAGGCTAAGGAGTGTAGGCTCTGGGCAATGGAGAGCCATTGCAGAGAAGTGACATATCCAGGTTGGTGTCTGAAAGATCCCTCTTGCTGCTATGACTAAGCCAACCCCACTTTCGACAGCCAGACCCGGAGCTGTTATTAACACAATGAAACAGAAATTAGAAAGAAGAGAAGAGGGGAGGTGGGGTGGAAGAGCTCACATGTAGCAGCTCACAGAGAAAGCTTTTCAAACTGTCTAGGTTCTCGGATTCAGAGGCACAATTGAACAACAAGTCAAAATCCTCATTCCTCTCCTCTCCAACCCTGGAAAGCGGCGCCTCGTGATTTAAATAACCGTGTTGGCTTGGGTCCCCGGCACGGTCCCAGGGGCTCCAGTGGTGTGGCCTGGCCATTAGGGAGGTGGGTTTTCTTTCAGTAGCCAAGTGAGGCTGAAGTACCCATCCAGCCAGGGCCGCCAGAGAGGCAGGTGTGGTCCGCGCTGCGCGTGTCCCTGGATCGCAGTGACAGGGCGGCGCGTTCTCCAAGGACACAGCAGGCTCAGAGCCCATCCAGGCTGTGCCTCCCCGAGGGCTGACGTCTCCATTTAGGGAGCGCTCCTGAAGCTAATGGGCAGTGACAGCTCCATTTGAAAAACACGGAAACACTTAGGGAGGCTGTGATCTGCCAGCTCCGTAAGCTGCTTATTAGCAGGAAAATCACGCTCCGGCTGCATTGTGCCCCTCTGGTTAACCCTTGTTTTTGCATCTCCTCTCTGCTATCTCACTTAAAGATTTCGTTGTTTTCTGAGGCAGCGGAGGGGAGGGAGAGGGGAGGGGGGAGGCTCGGAGCCCCCAGAAGCTGTTTTCTCTGTGTCCTATCACAGCCTTTGGGGAGGCCCTTGTGGTGTGCATGGGAAATTGATGGTTTTTAAAGAAAAATAGCCCCTGATGACTCTGTGTCTCAGCTCACGTGCTTCCTACGCTGGCCTGTTTGGAGCCCAGCGCCCAAGCCAAAGAGGAACACGCGCAGGTCTGCCTTACTCCCAACCACGGGTCCCGCCACCCTCTGCCCCACGGCCCCATGCACTGTCTCTCTGCTCCAAACGATGGACAGCCAGCTTCTAACCCTCCCCAGTGCCTCTGCCGTCAGTCTAGCTGATGCCCCCTTTGCAGTCCCCACACCGCAGGTGAGGGGACTCCCACACCCTCAACATCCCCACTGGACTCTCAGACCTGTCATACAGGAGCCCAAGTGCCCAATTGCCCCCGGAAGGCGCTCTGTCCCATCCCCCATTCACCACAGAGCCCAGGTGCAAAGTTGTAGGGTCACCAACACATCCTCTCCTCCTGGAAGGCCCCACCGTCTGACTCCTCAGCTAATCTGGCACCTCTTCCCCCACTCCAGATGCATCTTTCCGTCTGTCCCAGGGGTACCTTCCTCTGAAGCACCATCCTGTCCCGTCTCCCGGTTAGCATCCCCGCCCCTTGCCCGTCCATCCGTTTTGCACGCCGCACCAACGATCCCACAGACACATGAGTCAGAGCCTGTGGGGTGATCAGAACCCTCCAGCGGCTTCTTACCAAGTGGAGATGGAAATCCTCTGCTTTCCTTGACCAGCAAGACCCGCAGCCTGGCTCCCGGCCCCCTCTTGTCTCACCCCTCTGCCTCTTGGCCCCTGCTCTGGCCACACTGGCCTCACCGCTGTTGGGTGACGCTCTTGAGCGAGCCCCTGTCCCCGAGCCTTTCCACGTGCTGTTTGCTCCACCTAGAATGCTTTTCCTCGAGACTTTCAAATGTCCTTACTTCCCTGAGGGCTTGCTTCAAGGCTCATCTCCTCAGAGCTGACCACTTTTTCTTTCTTTTTTTTTTTTTACATTTAGGTCTTTTTTTTGATCACTTTTTCAAAAATGGTGTTCTCTTCCCTCTTTATCACTGACCTCACTTTATTTTTCTTAGTACTACTTATCTCTGTCTGACATGAAGCCACCTCTATTTACATTCTCAATTCTCCTTCTATTTATGTGCTTATTGCCTTCCTTCTCCAGTAGGAGGTTGGTTCCCATGAGGCATAGATTCTATCTAATTTACTGTTAGCACAGTACCTGGCACATAATAGGTACTCAATAGATATCTCTGGAGTGAAAACACATGCATAAGCAATGTAAGAACCTGGGCAATAATCCTGACCACACTGTGTTGAGGGTCCTTCCTTTTGTGGGCAGAAGTCCCCCCTCCTCTGACACCAGCCAGCACAGCATACCCCAAGTCCTAACTGCATGGCTGGGCATTGGCGGGAGGCGGCGATCACTTCTCATTTTCTGAGACCTGAAGGAAAGCTATCAACAGGGCTCAAAGAATTTAACTTGGAAAAACTAATCTCTTTCTCCAAGCCTGACACGACTCTCTTAAAAATGCAAGGCTGTTTCTTCAGTATTTCAAACTTAAGCATCATGAAAACACCCTGTCGTCGGAAACATACGCTGTCTGCAGGGAAAACACGAATCAAATAATGCTTACAGCTAGAATGCATTGACACTTCCTCGGTGCCAGGCGCTGTAGCGGTCGCATGCATGATGTCCTGTAAAAGTCTGCAGGCTATGGCCTCATGGGTGCCTTCTGCCCAGTCAGGAACAAAGCAGGAAGCTGAGGCCGTCTGAGAGCTGAGGCCTGCGCACACCCCGCCCCGCATACCTCTGCTTCCCTTCTTGAGTGTAGGGCTCGAAGGAGCAAAGGGAGAATGTGCACTCCTTGACTTTCTCAACTTCCCTTCCCTCTGCCAGTGACTCAGGCTCAGCGGCAGCTCTTCATTGTCTCATCTGTCTCCTCCTAACTGCCAAGCGGGGTGGCCCACTCTCGGCAACGTTTCCTGTGTGACCTCTTGGAGATATTTCAGCTACGACAATGCCCTTCTCGCTGGATTCCCTCAGTGCCCCACTTGCCTGACAGCACTCCCTTCTGGCTCTCCCCTTCCCGCTCTGGGTTTTAGGGGCAATTTTCTCCCTCGCCCATGGAAATCAGACCCCCACTTCCCAGGGTGGTTATGTGAAGCAAAAAGGTGATGTGTGCGAACCCCTTAGCAAGTGCAGGTTGTCTGGAAACTGCTCTATGGTTTTTATGACTATTATTATTATCTTTTTCCTGCTTTTCATGTTCTGTACTTTAAGCTATTTTTTTTCAAGACCTCTCTCCTGAGCTCCAGAATCTGTACTTCTAACCCCCTTGGGTCATCTCCTGGAATCTCCCCCATCCCTCAAAGACATCATGTTCAGGGACACCAAGTGGCTCGGTCGGTTAAGCATCCAACTTCAGTTCAGGTCATGATCTCGCAGTTTGTGTGATGGGGCCCCACTTGCTGACAGCTCAGGGCCTGGAGGCTGCTTCCGATTCTGTGTCTCCCTCTCATTCTGCCCCTCCCCTCCTCTCTCTCTCTCTCAAAAGTAAACAAACATTAAAAAACAAAAAGTCATCATTTCCACACAAAATAGCTGTCCTTCTGAATTTTCCCACTCTCTCTGTCTCTGGGATTGATATAACCACATTTTCGCCATCATTCAAACCAGAGACCTCATCATCCCCATCCTTGACTCCTCCTCCCTCCCCCACCCCCCAACCTGCCGCACTTAGTCATGTACTCATGGCCTACAAACCATTCGTGTAAAATGGAGCCAGGAGCCTGGACTCTGATGTCAGAGGGATCTGTCTCACGTTGTAGCTCTGCTATTCATTGACTGTGTGACCTTGAACAAGTTACGTAATCTCCCTGGCCCCAGTTTCCTCATCTGTCCAGAAGGGATGATGCCCACTTCGTAGGGTCTTTGGGAAGATTTAATAAGGTAATGCAAGTAGAGCATTCTAGGGTGCCTGGCATTTAGCAAGTTTGTAATGAATATTAGCCGTCATAACTACTAGGGCTGCTACTGTGTTAGGTTGTGGTCGCCTCTTGCACACACTGTGCTCGAAATACTAGAACTTCGTGCAAATGTTTGGGTGGGGATTAGTCTGTGTGTGTGTGCACACTTGCATACGTGTGCATGCACACAAACACACATGGGTTATAAATCTGACAGCCTGAAGACCCCAGGGTGGGTGAGAAACGATGGTGCTTTTCTCTCTAGCTCCCAGCCGCGCCACCAAGCTCTGGTATGTGTTTCATCCCACACCCTCCGCTCCCATTTGGAGAGAGTGGCTGGGTTTGCCTGCAGGCATCTTTCAGTTAAGGGTCAATGACGTATCCAGCTAACCAACGCCTCATGGTTGGCCAACGATTGCAGGAACCAAACCCCCGTCTTGAGATCTGTCTTCATTGACTAGAGTTTGTAAATTCCTGTATCTCTGGAGCTGGAAAGGTAGTTGTTCCTGACTGGCAGCCAGAGGACAGCCCTTGAGGGATCCACTGCTAAATACTGGGACCTGCCAGGTGATGTATAACTGGCTCATTACTTAGCATCTGGTGCCACGTGAAACATCACAGGTACCTTAATCCCATCTCTTTCAACAGGTGGGCCTGGCTGACTCCTTGCGGGAATGGGGGGTAGGGAGGGACACGCCACATACCACCAGCCCCACCATCTCATGCCTTTGCCATGCAGCTCCTGACTGCCCAGAGACACTGAGGGTGGCTCACGAGCCCTAGAAACTGAAAGTCCGGAGCCCAAGGTCATGTACCAAAGGTCATGAGAATTTTGCATTTTCTGTTGCTCTCATTTCTGATCATTGAAACAACCTCTCTGAGGTGGTAAAGGGAAGGGATCCGAGAAAACCACAGCCCAGTTTTGTTTGGTTCTGTTTTGTTTGGGGTTTTGTTTTCATTTTTGTTTTTCCACCTACCACAAGTTCTTTTCTTCCCCTCTCATAGTGTGGGCGAAATGCTGAAAACTTCGACCGGTTTTTCACCCGCCATCCACCCGTCCTAACACCTCCCGACCAGGAAGTCATCAGGAATATTGACCAATCAGAATTCGAAGGATTTTCCTTTGTTAACTCTGAATTTTTAAAACCTGAAGTCAAGAGCTAAGTAGATGTGTAGACCTGCGTCCTTCATTTCTGTCATTCAAGCTCAACGGCTATCGTGGTGACATCTTTTCTTTCGTTGCAACGTTGCATCCATGTTTTATTTGCTGACGAGACTAGAGTGACCATGTTTCAGAACCCAAATGTCCTCAGGTCGTTTGGAGCATCTCTGTGAGATGGGGATTATGCAGACGGCACGTCAAAAATGCTGCCGCATAATTAGCACATTAGTAAAGTCCTCTTACAGTCCATGTTCACCAGCATGTCAGCTCAGTAGATCCAGTGGGGACAGAAAATGCCTGCTTTCTCTCCCTTTTTTCCAGCGCTCCCATTTCACACATTTTCCCAACTCCAAGCATCCAGTCCAGATTGTTCCCACCAAGTGAGCGGATAATCGGATGCTAGCAGTATTCTCTCTCTCCCTGCCGGACCCAGAGCTTGGCTTGTATCCAAGTATATGGTGGCTTTGACTTAGAGGGAATCCCTCCATTCTGCCTGGTTTGGAGGCACCATGAGCTGCATGCTAAAAATAAAATTTTATTTGTTATTTTTTTTTAGACTTGAAGTTAAGAAGATTATCTCAGCCCTTTAAAATGCTGAGAGTGTGCTTTTAGACAGTCTCCATCTAAAAGTACCTCAAGGGGTCAGTCAAAAGGCAGCCAGCTTGGGCGCCACCTCCAATGCTGTGATTTCTGATACTCTGTGTCCCTGGTCACCTTCATCCTCAAACTACTTGCAAAGGGCATTTGGCACCACTCCCTGAAAAGACATGGTCACTCTAGCAAGGTCCCAGAGGACCATGGTTTTACATTACATTTCAAATTTTATTTGCTTTGGGGTTTTATTTCTGTTGTTGTTCAAATGCAAAAAGAAAAAAAAAACCCACTCTGTTACACATGTTTTGAAATACGTGTCCCAATGTTATTAACCACAATGACCTGCTTGGATTTGTCAAGACAGCGCTCTGGAGCCTCGCAGATCCATGCCTGGGTGGATGGGGCTCGCGTAGGTTTGTGGCTGGCTTTGGAAAGTTAAATGAGCACTCTGAGAAAGACCCCATGTCCCGAAGCATAGACAGTTGTATTCTTCACTTTGATGTTGTTTTGTAAGATGTTTGTGGAAATGTCCATTTGTATCTGGATATCTATTCTGTGCCATTTTTTTTCTAGCATCGAGATACAATAAAAAAAAAAAAAAGAAAGAAAGAAGAAATGCTATTTCAAGAAAACGGCTCTTTGAAACATGTGGACCCAAACTACAAAGCAGGGCTCCTGAGGCTTTGGGACAGAAAGGAACTAAATCCAGTTTTTAACCTCAGCCCCAGGGTTCGGTTGGTCAGAGAGGCCGGGGCTGGGGACCATTCAGGGATTCCTGGCGGCCGGTAGTGGGATGGGGTGAGCTGGCCGGGGCCTCCAACGATATCGGAGCTCAAAGCCAGGGTCAAGTTTAGGGGCCAGCTAGAAGCATGGCTGGAGCTCTTGATTTTCTTATCAAAATCACCACTCCTCCCAGCTTGGACTAAATATTCTTTCTTGCAAGCAGCTTTGTGAGCCCCCAGAAGCCAAGGAAACCTCTTGGGTGGGAGAAATCCTGCTTCTGCCTGAGTGGATGAGGATGGCAGGGGGTTCCCCAGCCTGGCCTACTGCCTCCTTCTATTGTCAGGCAGCCCTGCAGAGAATTCTTATCACAAGTTGCATGATTTCCAGAAGCACCAGGGCTTCCAAGAGACCATCAGGAGAACTGTAAAATCTTGACTAATGTCATTGACATAAGACTTCTCATCTTTAAGAAAAGTGTGCCGTGGATTTCCACATAGGCAGAGAGGCCCCTCGCTCACTCCTGCCTGCCCTCCGCTTCTCCTCACTACAGGACCTCATGTGGGGCAAACCTGAAGTCTCAGCTGACGAGAGCTCAGGAAGTTAGAGGAGGGAAATTGGGGCGGAACCCTCCTCCCCCATTTTATTGTTGGGGAAACTGGCATCTGCAGAGTGACTTGCCCAAGGTCAGCCAGCTGAGGTGCACACCCAGGTTTCCGGACTCAGTGCAAGACGCTTTCTGCTCTATAGCTGGTATCTCTGAGCCATGCCCACCAATAGGCAAGTTATTTGAGGTCCTTCATCTGGCTGTTGGGTCACCAGGTCTTTCCCTGGACATGCTCTCAGGAAAATAAAAACCATGTAAAAGCATTGGGCCACTGACAGATTATCTGAGACAACTTTAGAGAACAATGTAAGATAGGTAGATAGGTAGCTAGATATAGATAGATGATAGAGATAGATAGGTAGATAGATAAGATGATAGAAAGAATATATTATATATACACACTGCACTCTACATTTTCCAAATTGCTGCCATTATTTTTTCAAAATAGTTTAATAGTTTGCAGAAAGAGGTACTCAAGCCAAAGTCTCTATTCCCCTAATACACCTTGGTGAGGGCTGATCAACGAAGGCCTCTGTGGAAGTGAGGGGGTCTTGGTCAAAATTTCTGCAATTTCCTTTGCTGTCAATATTTTAAGTACAAGGGAGACCAAGAAATAGAGCTTTCAGCCTATGTAATCTCCGGGCAACACTTTGCAAATTTATTCAGGAAGAAAGATTTTCCCACTTCTTTGTGTCATCGTCCACGTATTCCACTCTCCATTCATCCGGGAAGCTTTCGTTGAGGACTACCTGTGTGCCCAGCTCTCTGCTGGGTGTCAGGAGCTCAGTGGGGAGCCCTACAGATGCAATCCAGAGGGCCACCATTAAATAAGTGATTGAAAGCAAGGTGTGATCTAGAGATAGCCAGTCTCCAAGTTAGTCAGAGGAGGCTACTTACAAGAGAGAAAAAGTCATCAGAAGTCTTCAGGGCCCCTCTTTCTCTCTGTAGACCATAGTTTGAGGCTGAAGGAAGAAATATAGCAGTGCTCTCTTGACCCATATTTCTGGGGCATTCCTAGAGTGCAATGGGGGGGGGGGGACACAGGCTAGATGGTAGCAGGGTGGGTTTCTTCCAGAAGGCCAAAGGCACAGTCTCTGCACTTGAACAGACCACAGAATCACCAAGATTTGAGCAGAGACAGATCCCCATAGCAAGAGAGGTAACTGGTTCTAAAGCTCAGTTCTGAGGCCTGAGTCTTGCTTCTTAGAGTTAATCATCCTGAAGGCATCCTTTCCAGCCCTCAGGGAGATGCTGTTCTGCCAGCACACTGCCCCCAGCTTGACACAGCCTGACTCTTCTAGATGAGACAAGCTGAGATCTTCCACAAGAACTTAAATTAGGAAAGAATCTAAAAAAGAAATTAAATAAATCCAAAGAAATGTAAACACAATCCATGTTAGCCATGGCTAATTGTCCGTCAGGATGTCAAGGATCCCTCTTTGCACTTCTAAGACTTCTCACTCACCTGCTTCTTCTAAGGAAGTTAGGACGATAATGGCCTTCTTGAAGAATCAATAGAAGGCCAGTGGAACTGATATCCATCCTTGCATGAGTGATGATGCTATCATGGCTTCAGATGCTATCAACCCAAATAGGAGAGGCCCATCCTCTCCCACCTTCTAGAGTAAAATTCAAGGGTATTTCCTATGGTCATCTGCCCACAGGACAAAATCTAGAATGGCAGGTCCTATTTGGACCATGTGGCTATTTGAAGCACGAGACCTCACCAGCACTACAAATGAGGAAGAGCTTTGAAAGCTGGGGCTGGTGGTAAGGGAAACTCCAGCCATGCCCAAAGGCAGGGAAGGCCAGATGGGGTCGATTTTCCCAGGAGAGACCTGAAAGAAGGCAAGTGCCTGCCTTCTGGCCCAAGATCTACCGGGGTCCACACACCATCGTGGAGTTCTCAGACCTCGAAGGGACTTAACACAGTTCAGTCCATACTGGAGCTCAAAATGGACAGAGGCCGATGTGAGGGACCCATAGGATCAGTGGGAATAATTTCATTGCTTTGGTATAGAGAGTGGTCTCTGGCTCGAGGACAAATATAAATTGGAAAAAAGCAATGAGGTTCATCCTTAGTCAAGTCTTCATTTGTTGACTGATTCATTCATTCAACAAATAGTTGTGGACAGCCTGCTATGTGCCAAGCATTACTCTTGGCACTGGAAATACCATAATGAAGAAACAGGCAAGGACCCTCCCCACCTGGAGACAGGCAATAAATAAACAAGACAATGTCTAATAATAAGTAAATGCAATGAAGACATTTAAAAGGATGCCAACATATGACTTGTAGGGTCCAGAGAGGGCACTCTCTTTTGGATGAGGTGACATTTGAGCTTTTCTCTGAACACAGGAAATAACACAGTGCCTGGGACAGCCCAGGACAGGCTGACAGCAGGCAGGACAAGACAAAACGGAATGGGTGGGACATGACAGGAGATGGCCCGCCATCTAGAAAACAGCTCCACTGACATCTTGAGCCCACTGCAGTCTGTCTACACTTCCTGAAGTGTGTTCCTTACACTCCCCCCTCTCATTCCCACACCACAACACATATAACACAAGAGTAAGTGGCAACTTCTTAGGGACATTTTACCCAACTCAAGGGAGCAGCCTAAAAGAAGGAATTCTTGTGGGAGGTTTTTGGCCAAGAGGCATGAGCCCAGCAATGAGGAACCCTACCAGTCAGTGCCCATTAGGAGCTAAAGCTAAAGCATAGATAGCAATTGGCTGAACTCTGACAAATCAGTCGATGCTCACTGAACCTCCCCTCTTTACAGCCTGACCCAGCTCTGGCTTCTGCCAGGCAAGCTCTCACCTTCTCGGCTATCCAGTAGTAAACCAGCCATCATGCTTTCCCCCCAGTCAGAGGGACTGAGGTGAATTAAGAGGAGTGTGGTCAAGTAAAGATCACTAGCTCACCGTACAACCTTGGGCAAGTCACTGTATCTTCCTGTGCCCCAGTTTTCTTATATGTCAAACCATGGGGGGTGAGGACTCCAGTTACCCTACCTTTGGGTGGTGAGAATAGGCTGAAGAACCTGAGGAGGGAAAACATCATATAGCTGTGAGATGTTGTCATTAGCCCACATTCTGACGTTCCCTGAAAAAAAGCTGCCCCAAACTGTAGTTAGTAAACTGGGATTAATGCCCCCTACCCCACAAAAGAAATTTTAGGCTAACCAGAATAGAATTTTTGTTTGTTTTAAGGCTGCCCTTACAGACTTGACTTTAAGCTTTGGGTTTTGTTTCTTATAGCTTGTTGACTAGATACATGCTGTAAACGTCCTTGGAGAGAGCCTGTGGTTGACGAAGACCCAAATTCTAGTCTGAGGGTGGACTTATGAGCATCCCTTCAATGCCTATATTGCACCAGGGGATGTGGGGTGGGCACTGGTTAGCTCCTTTCATCAGGCAGTAATCTGATGTCCCCACATGCCACTCCACCTTCTTGGCAGCTGAGTGATGGTGCAGCTGTTCTCTTGTTTAAAGAAAGGAGCCTCCTGGCCACAGGGGTTGCTGTTGGATGGTTTTCTCCAGGACGCCCTACCCTATGACTAGTTCTATTGCATTTTGCATGGTAAGAAGTAGTTTCCAATTCAGTTCATCTAAAAGCCAAAGAAAACAGAACACACACATACACACATACCACTGTATGACACTCCTTAAAGAAATTCAATGTTTCATTTCTTTTCTTAGGCAATCTCCACCAAATGTTCTCTCCTGAAGACAACATATAATGTGAAATGAAAGCCAGGGGTAGTATGCCACAATGCACCTGCTACAAAACTCAGCACAGGGCTCTTTCTGATTCTGCCCATGAGATGTCATCGGCTTCCTACTAACTGGCAGGTGTGGGTTGTGTCTCCTTCTTATGCCGTGTTAATGTGTTTGCTTTCCATTTGGCAGAGAGACAAGCGAGACACCTCCAACTTCGACAAAGAGTTCACCAGACAGCCTGTGGAACTCACGCCTACTGATAAACTCTTCATCATGAACTTGGACCAAAATGAATTTGCTGGCTTCTCCTATACTAACCCAGAGTTTGTCATTAATGTGTAGGTGAATGCAGACTCCATTGTCGAGCCTGAAGTGTAAGCCTTCAGGCCAAGTGTATGTGTCAATTCTAGTCTTCCAGGATCCATGGTGCATTTGCTGGCATTCAACATGTGGAGGGCTTGTCCTAGAGGGCTTTTCTTTCTATGTGTAGCTTGGTAGTTTGTTTTCTACATTTGAAAATGTTTAGTTTAGAGTAGGCGCTTTATCCAATGATAGAGGTACAATTTTCCAAACTTCCAGAAACTCATCCAACAAACAGACGATGTCAAAACTACTGTGTCTGATACCAAAATGCTTCAGTATTTGTAATTTTTAAAGTCAGAGGCTGATGTTCCTGGTAAATGTTTTTACAGTTATTCTACCCTATCTTCTTTGAATGCTAAGCATGACTGGTATTTTTAAAAATTGTGAGTAAGCTTTGCAGTTACTGTGAACTATTGTCTCTTGGAGGAAATTTTTTGTTTAAGAATTGATATAATTAAACGGAGTTAATATATGCAAACTCTCTTGTTAACATGTGTGCTTTTAAACAGGCCCTAGAACAGGGGTTACACACTAGAGGGCCAGACGCTGATGTGGCCGGTGGAGGAGCTTTATTTCACATTGAAATCATTGTCAGCATTTAAAAATGGGATCATTTATATAAATGTTGGGCTTTACGATTCACTTAGAAAAAAATCAGAAGACTAACAGCCCTGGGCCTGGTTCCATGTGGAAATAATTCTACCAAACTGAGATCTCTTTTAAAAGCATTGTGGGCTCTGGGGCGCCTGGCTGGCTCAGTCAGTTGTGCATCTGACTCTTGATTTTGGGCTCAGGTCATGATCCCAGGGTGGTGGGATTGAGCCCCACATCGGGCTCTGTACTGAGCGTAGATCCTGCTTAAGATTTTCTCTCTCTTTCTCTCCTTCTGTCCCTCTCCCCCTCTTGCATGCACTCTCTCTCTAAAGAAACAAAGTTATAAAAGCAGTGTGGGTTCTCACTCCACCACAGCCTCCACTATGCCCTTTTGTCACACTCTCCATCCACTTGCCTGGCTGCTGTAGATTTCAGGTTGAGACTTCTACCATTTGCAAGCCACACACTTCATAATTTCCCGTGCCCACAATCATAGTATCCACTCAGTGATCCAATCAGTGTGGCTTGGTGTATGAAACCCTCGAGCACAAAGTACATAACAAAAATTTCATCCCAGCCAAGATAAAAGCAAAGAGGTCGCTGTCAGTACAGAGGGAACACTTTTCTGTGGTCGATGAGGAGGCGACTATTTGTAAACCACTTACCTTTCCCTATTTTCTAATTCAGCATCTGAAAAGAAAAAAAGAAAAGTGTATGCCCTTTTCTCCACAACCATACTTGCCCAGGGAGGGCAGGAGAAGAGAGGAAAATAAAATATGCCGTATGTTTGGCAAGCAAAGGAGCCCCAGTCTCTGAGATTAGAGTGGCACATTAATGAATCACTGGGTGTCAGCCTAATATCTTCTTCTTTGAATGAAATCATGCTCTATTTTCCTTTTGAAAGATGTGCTAATCCAATCTATAGCACATGCGTTTGTTGCTGCTAATGCCAGTGGGTAGCAGGAAAGAGCAAACCTGTCACACCAAGTACATTATGATTCCACAGAATTTATTCATCTCCTGCCTCCTTGGAAAATGCCCAATAAATGGAGCATCGGGCAAATGCAGTGAATCCATTGATCCCAGTACATTCTTTGCAGAATTTTAGAAACTCTGCCAGTTGACATTGGGGAAAGCCAACTTAAACGTAAGGAAGAAACTGTGTGTTCTATGCATCACATGGAGAAAACAAAAATAACCGATTTCTATAGATGTTCAATGACATGTTCCATTTAAGATGGAATTAGAGAAGAGCTTGCTCTTGCTACTTCTGAGCCCTCTCCATTTCACACCAGCCCCTCATATTTTCTCCCTCTACTGGATACAAACCCCACCTTTCATTTCATAGTTATTGAGCACCTCCTTCACGTCAACCACAATTCTGGGTGCTGAAGATATAGAGACCAACAAGACAGTGCAGAACTTTCCACTCACAGAGACAAGAAAATGCAGAAGCCCCAGCCTCTTCTCTTCCTAGGACCATGTCCAGTGAGAAAGAGTGGGGGCACTTTACTCTGATTGACTCAGCATGGTCACATGCACAGTCCTGAACCAGGGACTAGATCTGGGGTGCAGAGAGGAGTCAGGGGAGATAGTTTAATCAGCCAGACCTACATTGTTACCTACTGATGTATAACAAGCTACTCCAAAACTCTGAGGCAACAAATATGTATTGCTTGTCAATGACAAGGAAGGAGAGCTGGGTGTGGTTTACCTGGTGTAACACCTTTCATGAGGTTGCAGTCAAGCTGATGGCCAGGGTTGCAGTCACATATGAAGGATCAGTGGAGGGGAGATGGGATTCACTTCAAAGCTTACTCCCATGGTCGATGGAAGCTTCAGTTCCTCCCCAGATACACACCTCCATAGGACTGTCTGCACATGGCAATTGGCTTCCCCCAGTACCCAATATGGAAGCCATCTAATCTCAGAAGTGACATCCCATCACATTGCTGTTTTCTGTTCTTTAGAAGCAAGCCAGTAAATCCAGCCCACACTGAAAGGGAAAGGATTACACAAGGAGAGAATCCCAGGAGGTGGGGGCTCCTGAGTGTCATCATCACAGACTGCCTACCACATGTGTCATGAGCTGCACTTCTGGAGCAATGGGTAGAATGCCACCCAAACCACATGAATTGAGAACGAGCTAGGACAAAAGTTGGAAACTCTTCTTGGGACAAGGCGGGGATGAATGCTCAAGAAGCAAAACACAATGGTGGATTCTCTGCAGACAGGAATTTTGGACTGCCCCAAAGATTCCCTAAGTTTAGGAATGTATGAGAGACAAGCCACTAATGAGAAGTAATTAAAGGAGAGACTCAGTTGATGTTGCACTTGGCCCACAGAGGTCCCCATTGTTTCATTGCCAAGCTCACTACCAAAGGCGAGGACCTGAATTTGACATTCTGCTGAGCTATAGTTCTTTGTCTTCAGAGACTCAAAATTCACCAAGAAGACGAGTTGGTGGGAACATATACATGATACAAGTCTACACCAATTATCTAATTCTGAGTAAGAAACCACCTCAAAACTTAGTGTCTTTTAAAAAATAAGCATTTATTCAGTTCACAGTGGTGGTTTTTGTGGTCTGGTCATCCCAGTATCTCTCTGATGGTCTCGCCTTCAGTCAGCTGGAGGATCAACTGGTGACTAGATGGTCTAGGATGGTCTCATTCACCTGTATAGTGTTTGGCAACATCACTGATTTAGAGTAAGTTCAGTAAGGATGGCTTGTTTTTGCTCCACATGTTCTCATATGTTTCAGCTAGAACATACTTCATATGGTGTTTCTGAGGACTCCAAAGAAGAGTAATGGGAAGCAAACCCCAGTGACAAGCAATTTTCAAACCTCTGCTTGTGTCAGGTTCACAACTTTCCCATAAGCCAGATTCAAGGAATGGAGAAATAGAGGTTCCTGGGTGGCTCATTTGGTTGAATGTCTGACTTCAGCTTAGGTCATGATCTAGCATTCACGAGTTCAGGCCCTACATCGGGCTCTGTGCTGACAGCTCAGATCCAGGAGCCTCCTTTGGATTCTGTCTCTTCCTCTCTGCCCCTCCCCTGTTTGTGTGCGTGCTCTCTCTCTATCTCAAAAATAAATAAAGATTTTTTTAATTTTAAAAAGGGAAGGAAAAATGTATTTCACTTCTGGATGGGAGGCACTATAAAAACACCTTGCAAAGGCAAGTAAATGGCCATTAGGATAGAGAAATTCATGACCAATTTTGTATCTACTACCTAGTCCCTCAATGGAACTATTCATGAACTTAGGGAACATTAGAGAAATTAGATAGATGGGAAAGAAATTGCCAGAAAACTACCTGGGCTTCCCCATGGTCATGGACCACTAGAAGTCAGTCTTCTTATTTGTCTCTTCAATCTCAACATACAAAGACATGATGCCAAAGTTCAGGCTTATCAATTGAATAACCAGAGCCAACTTGAGAGCTGATGGTGTAGGCTTTTTAAACCAATTAGGACAACATTTTGAAATCTTCAGATGTTATTTCTGCCGTGGTACTTTTTCCAACCTCATACACAAGCAGATGCTGGAGAAATCAGAGAGGAATGCAAAGCAAGATAAACAGGAACCAAATCTGGGTCACTCAATCCAGTACCATCTATCAATATCTGGCTCCAAAAGCCCTAAAGCCAAATACCTCAGGTCCTATGTCTGCCGGTTTTGATCTGAAATCACTTTGACCCACATGGAATTCTGCTGTTTATCACTTCTTAGGCATGCAACACTGGCTCCAAAAGTGAATCCTGACTTCCAAAAGCAATAAAAGTTTGAATTCTAGAGGCCTTGCCCAATGATTGAACCACACTCTTTCCACTATGGATTTTGTCCCCTAAATGCAACTCCCCCTGACATATATCCTGCCCAAATTAGGCCAGATGCCAGGTTAAGATTAAAATGGTATTTGGATAAGAGACACAAGAACATTCAATTCGGTTTCAATAAGTCACTCTCCCCCACAAGGTCCAAGAGGGACATAAATACAAAAAGGACAGTGTCTAGCAAATAAAACGTTGATTACTATTTGAAGATTGAACTGCATATCCCAATGTGGGATCTTAATTCCAACATGAGCTGGATTGCATAAAGAATTCCTAGATGTGGGTTGTATTACTTATCTATCACTGTTAACAGATTACCCCAAAATTTAGCACCTTAAAACAGCACACATTTCTTGGCCCACAGTTTCTGTGGATTGGGAATCCAAGCACAGTTTAGTTGGGTCCTCTGATTCAGGGTCCCTTAAAAGCTGCAATCAAGGTGTTCACTCTCACGGTCACTGTCTGTGGTCTCATCTGAAGGTTCAACTAGGGAAGAATCCATTTCTAAGCACACTCACGTGGTTGTTGGCAGGATTCAGTTACCTGTGAGCAATTTGACTGACAGCTTCAATTCCTCAGTGGCTCTTGGCTGGAGGCTGCCCTCAGTTCCTTGCCATGTGCACTTTTCCAAAATGTCAGCTTGCTTTATCAAAGTGTACCAGCTAAAAAGACAGTATAGCAATAATACCAGTAAGATGGATGTTCCATTCACGTCATGAGGTCCAGCTTAAGGAGAAGCCCACACTTAAGGAGAAGAGACTATACAAGGGCATAAATAGGTGAGGCAGAGACTTGAGAGCCATGTGAGAACCTGCCTACCACGTGGATGGAAAAGGTTTCCTCTAAGAAAAATACAGGGTGCAGTATGGGAGAGCAAAGGGGTCTTAGTACTGTGTCTAATGCATGGGCATGATCTTGATCAATCAGATCAACCCTCCCCCTTGAGGTAAAGTAGAGGTAGGAAGAGGCACAATGGTCATCCTTTCCCTGGCTGAGAGTTTCTCAGCTGGTGTGGGTAAGCAGACTGACATCGTGTATCCAAATGGAAACGACTTATTCCTGGGATCAAAAGACTCAGGCCCCTCATGAATGAAACAGAAATCATCATTTATGTAAGCCCACAAGATCTAAAGGCCCTTAGTCTCAAAATAGAGGAATTTTCCTTGAGCCCCTAAAACATGAGCAGCATCAGATTCACATCACTGCCCCAGTTAAGCAGCAGAATGCCAAAAGCAACCATGGCAACTTTAGTGGAGGTATCTGACCCCACGATTATCCTCACGAAGTTCCATTGGTTGTAAGTAGACAGAACCCAGAGGAGAGCTTAAAGAGGAAAAGGGGAGAAGGGAGAAATATTTAAAAATTATATTAAGGGAGCGGAAACTGATTGAAGAAAGGAGCAAGCAGAATATCATCTCTTGCCTTGAACCTGGACTTGATTTGCTCTTATGCTACAAAGGCTGAAACTATGTCAGGCAGTCCACGACCACAGAGAGAAATTATTAGAGCTGAAAATGAATGAATATCTGTCATTCATTCCTTCAATAAATCCCTCTTTAGGACCAATGACTGATCCAGATGGGAACAAAACATGAGCCCTATTCTCATGCAGCTGATGTTCCAGGAGGGATTCATGTTAAATAGTGAATAACATGATTGCAGATGGTAATAAGTGCTATGAAAAAAAAACAAATAAAGATTGGCAGGAATGGAATGGTTGGATTGTCAGCTATTTAACCCAAATGCTCAAGGAAGGCCTCCTTGAGAAGGTGCTGATTTGATCTGTGTAACAAGGAGCCAGAACAAAGCATTGCAGACAGAGGGGACAGCAAAGGCCAGAGCATGAGTCCTGGCCTGCTGAAGACCACCGAGAGGGGAATAGTGATCACTAGGCAAGGTGGTGGAGATGAAGCCAGAGAGGAAGACAGGGGACAGATCTAGTAGGCACTTGTCGACCTTGGTGAGAAGCTTGACTTTGTTCTAAGTCCAATGAGAATCCAGTGGACACTGTATTCATTCCTTGCTGTGGCTATAACAAATGATCACAAACCAGTGGCTTAACACAACACAAATTTGTTCACAAATTATGGTTCTAGAGGCCTGAAGTCCAAAATCAGTCTAACCGATCAAGGTGCAAAAGGAACAAGTTCCTTCTGGAGGCTCTAGGGGAGAATCTGTTGCTTTGTCTTTTTCACCTTCTAGAGGCCACTGCATTTCCTTAGCTTATGGCCTCTTGTCCCCTTCCAAACATATCATTCCAGGGGCATCTGGGTGGCTCAGTCAGTTGACTGTCCAACTTCGGCTCAGGTTATGATCTCACAGTTTGTGAGTTCAAGCCCCACATCAGGCTATGTGCTGACAGCTCAGAGCCTGGAGCCTGCTTTGGATTCTCTCTCTCTCTCTCTCTCTCTGCCCCTTCCCTACTCGTTCTCTGTCTCTGTCTCTCTGAAAAATAAATAAATATTAAAAAACAAAAACTACATCACTCCCACCTCTGTGTATGTTGCCACATCTCCTTTTCTGTCTGTGACTGTCCCCAGAGTGATTACTTTGGGCTCACCTGGATAACACAGGATAATCTCCTCAACTCACAATCCTTAACACATCCTCCAAGTCTCTTTTGCCTAGGGAATGTGCTCACTGGTCTGAGGGATTGGAACATGGACATCTCTGGAGGGCCCTTATTCTGTCTTTCCACAGAGACTTTCAACAAAGGGTTAACATCTGATCTACCTTAGAGAACATGACTGCAGGGGTAGGTGGAAGAGCAGAAAGATCAACAGAAACCATTTCAATAGGGCAGTGAGTGAGCAGAAGCGCACTTGACCTTGACTGCCATCCTTGAAGAAATCAGAGGAAAAGATGATTGATTCGGACTAGCCAACCAAACTGGTTCTACTGATTCCCAATAGGGTGCTTTTTCAGCCATCCCAGGATCAGACTTTTTAGGAACCATCAAGGTTTGTGTGACTTTTCTGAAAGGAAGAGGCCAGGACTGGAATGGAGGATAAGAAGAAGACTAAGGCTTCAGTCTGATGGAGTATATCAAAGAATGACTACCCTGAGATTTCCAGTCCTAACCCTAGACTCTGTGAAGGTCACCTTTTCTAGTTTTTATCCTTTGGGAAAAGGGTCTTTGCAGATGTGATTACACTGAGGCTCTCCAGATGAAGAGATTACCCTGCATTACCATGGTGGGCCATAACACCATCACTGGTATTTTTATAAGAGAGAAGCAAAGAGCCAACACAGGCACACAAAGGGGGAGCTGGGGTGCAGATGGCACCACAAGCTAAGGAATACTGTCAACTAACAGGGACTGGAAGGGGTGAGGAGCAGGGTCTCCCTTTGAGCTTGCAGAGAGAGTGCAGTCTTACTTACCCTTGATTCTTCTTACCTCCAGAACTATCTATCTCTATTGTTTTAAGAGGATAATTCTATCAGGATAAATTTCTGTTTTAAGCCATCAAGTTTATAGTCATCTGTTACAGCAGCCCCAAGAAATTGATACACTTGGTATGGACAAGATCATAGCCTACAGTCTGACCCAGATGCTGGCAAATTAACCAAACTGGATTCGGGAAGTGCACCTTCCAATGTGGGGCACCACCAGGCAAGCTCTGACAGGGATGAAATCTCACTCCTAATTGTCCAGGGAACAAAATGAAAAGAAACTAAGAAGCCTGCTCTAGCAGCCAGAAGACCAGATGACTTTAAGCTCCTTCCCCATTCGAGCTGTCCCCACCAGCAGGAACCAGGAACAAGGACCCCCCCTCCCTCTGTGGGTGTAGCCCTTATGCAGGGCCCCTGAAGACAGCCGTTGCTCTGCATGGTTCAGGCCTGGGGACCGCTCACCTCCCCCTCGAAGTACACCCACCTGGGGCTGGCTCAAACTCCTTTATGTCTGATGCAGCAGAGAGTGGTGGAAAGCTACAGAGAATGGACAAAACTCACAGACCATCTGTTCGTCTTCTGTGTTTTGTGAATTTATTTTCAAATGTTAAGCATTTGATAGCAGTTGTCAGGCATTATCTCCAAAGCTACCATTTGGGTAAAGATATCCTCTTAAATATCCAGGAGAATCACTCAGAGATCAGTGATTCTCCAGGGTTTGGAAGAACGCGTGAGTCAAATTTTGAAACAACATCTTTAAATATTATTATATAATTGCAGGATCAGAACAGGGAAATAAGATGTCTTGTTTCTATAATACAGATTTCAGGAAGAAAAGCCTGGCCAAGTCTTGCTGAAAGGACCATGTAGGAAATGAAGGAATTTCTCAATTGAAAAGCAAGGCTCTGGGATGAAGGCTTATGGATATTTTCTGGCCTTGGTGAGATTTTTATGTTTGTCAAAAAGGGACACAGGGGACATCTGGGTGGCTCGGTCGGTTAAGCATCCAATTCTTGATTTCCGCTAAGGTCATGATCTCACAGTTCATGAGTTCAAGCCCTGCATCGGGTTCTGTGCTGACGGCACAAAGCCTGCTTAGGGTTCTCTCTCTCTCTCTCTCTCTCCCCCATTCTTTCACTCTATCTCTCCCCCTCCCCTGCTCATGCTCTCTCTCACTCTCTCTAAGCAAATAAACTTTTTTTTAAAGGGACACAGGTTTAAAAGAGAAAAGTGGGTAATGCCTTCAGCATAGGGGTATGTTATCTTGATTTGATTCTATGCACATTTGGAAAGTGAATACAGCCATCTAGGAAGGGTTGTCAAAGATGAACAGAATGGACCAACTTCTGGGGTGGCTTTGCTCCTCTGTGCCCTACAGCTCAGGGCTGAGTTGGGAGGTCACACTCACTTCAAGTGCAGTGGCCTCTGATAGGAGCTTCTATTCTGAGTAGGACTGTCTTTGGGTATCAGAGATGAGTCTGGTGACCCTGAGGGCAATGGGGAAATTAGGCAGTTAATTGCCTAAGTTATGACCTTGGACATCCATGACTAAGCCCTCTCAGCCAAAATGACCATGACAACTGAATATTGACACTCTTGGACCATGTTCCTATCATATTGATACAACTGCAGAACACTTTACCTACATTAGAATCAGGGGTTATTCTAGAGAATAGTGAAATAGTGAGAAACCAGACTCTGAAGCCAACGTGTTCAGCTCCCAGCTCTGCCACGTGCCAACTCATAACCTTGGGAACTTCCTTAGCCATGACTTCCCAACCTTAAGAGAATGGACAATACTAACACTTCTCCCCTAAGATTGCTGTGGAGATCAAATAAGACAGTGTCTGAAACGTTATGTTTTGTATATGTGTTAGATATTATTCTCCTTATTACAGGAGCCATGCAGATAGTGCAAGTGCATGAAGCATTCCAGGGGGAAAAACAACAAGTGTTGTGAGCCAAGAGTTCTTGACCAGAAGAGTACCTTGTTCTGTCTGATGTGAGTAACCATTGTGGTACCCTCTCCCAGAGACAATGTGCAGGAATGCAGCCCAGCAATGCCGTATTTTCCCCTTCCTCCAAAAAAGCTGGAAATCCGAATTTTTCTGTAAAACATCCTGATTTTAAAATATGGGCCACTGATTCTGATTTGTTGAAACTCTAGGCTCTGCAAATAAAATATGCCCACTTGATACGTATTTCAAGCAGGCTACAAGCTTGAAACCTCTAATGTACAAGATCAATGGGCACATATTTTCAGCCCTTTTAAAAGAATGCTGAAAGTATTTAGGGGGTCTTCTATTTGCAAAACTCATTAATGGGACATTATTATTCATACTATAGTAATTTAGCATTTACAATGTATCAAGCCCTATCCTAGGGCTTTACCGTAATAATTCACTTGATCCTCACAACAACCCTATAAGGTAGGGACTATTATTTTTTTTCATTTTACAGAGGAGGAAGCTGAAAGCTCAGAAGTTAAGTAACTTGCCCTAGACAAAACAGCAGGTAGAAGAGCTGGATTTTGAATGCAGGCTGCCTTTAGACATTTGTGATGAGGGGTGCCTGGGTGGCTCAGTGGGTTAAGCATATGACCCTTGGTTTCTGCTCAGGTCATGATCTCACGGTTTGTGGGATGAACCTTGGGTCGGGATCTGCACCAACAGCTGCAGAGCCTGCTTGGGATTCTCTCTCTCCCTCTCCCTCTGCCCCTCCCCCACTCATTCTCTATCTCTCTCTCAAAATAAACATTAAAGAATTGTGATGAATCATATACAATTTTTCTAAAGCCCACACACAGTGTAACATGGCCAGAGCTGTCACCAAAATGTGCATTGCTGAGTGATGTTGAGATTAGCAAGACCACAGGAGGACCCAAGCAATGGGAACTCAGCAAAGCCTTAGCATGTACCCAGGGTTGCTGGTGTCTGCCAGAAGTCAGTACTTGTCCACTGAGCCATGTTTATATTTGATGTGGCATGACATTAAATGCATAGATGAGGGCCAGCTTTCACAGAGCATGTACCGTGTTCCAGCTGCTCTTCTAAACACTCTACAAATATTAATTTACTTAATCCCAAAGAGAAAGATACTAATTTCTATCATCACCATTTTATGTGGAAACTAAGTCACAAAGGGATGGAGTCTTTTGTCCAAGTCCACACAGCCATGAACAAGGGTAGGTTCCCAAGTCTATGCTCTTAACTGCACTCTGTTCATAAATCTTCAATAATATCCATTACCTCTGGTTATATCCACTACCAAAATGCCCATGTGCAAGAAAGAACATAGCAAAGGGAGAGATGTCTCTTTTTTAATGTTTATTTATTTATTTTGAGGTGGGGGGAGCAGAGAGAAAGAGGTAGAGAGTCCATGCTGTCAGCACAGAACCCAACTTAGGTCTTGATCCCACAAACCATGAGATTGTGACCTGAGCTGAAATCAGGAGCTGGATGCTTAACCAACTGAGTCACCCAGGTGCCCCTCAAAGGGAGAGATTTCTAATTAAACTGCACACAAAGCTGAACATTTTGGGGGAAATGCAGTTTGCCTTATAATGAAGACATTAGCTAGGCTTTGTTGAGTTATTACTAAGTTCTCACCAGGGGTAAGTCCCTGTTAGCCTCATATAAACTGCAGGAGCTGGTGTTATCATTCAACCCATTTTTATGGATGATAAGCAGAATCTTAAGGTACCAAGTAACTTGAATAAGATCACACAGCTGGTAAGTGATCAAATGAGGGCTTGAATGCAGGTCTATCAGACCCTACTGCCTGCGTGTTTAAGCCCAACGTAATGTTCAGGAGTTTGTTTCTTCCAGAACAACTTCTGCTAAGAGAGATGACATTAATGGAAACAGTATTAGTATTGCTATTGCTAATCAGCCATGGAGTAACTTCCAGGGAATTTCCAAAGAGAAGTTTACAGGACCGGGCAGTGTCTAAGGAGTCAAGGTTTAGGACAGAGCCTCACTAGGGGTAAGCCCTAGCTCTCAGACCCTCTGCTCCCTAAAAAGAGATGACCATCTGCCATCCCTTTCCCTCTGGCTAAATGTGAAGGATCCTTCTGCCTTGTTCCCTCCTGAAGGGCAATTCCTGCCTGGGGATTGCGCTTGTATGTGCTTTTAGGTTTACAAGTGGCAAAATCCATCTCAAAATGGAGTAATTAAAAGAAAAATAGAGACATGATCTCTTTGTTTCAGTAACCAAATAAGCCTTGGGTTGTCTGGCTTCAGGTATAAATGGATCCAGGGATTCATACAATATCAGCAAGCTGTCCCTCTCTACTGTCATCTAATTTTCTCCATAGCTTCATTTCCTTGGTCACCCCTTGAAGTTCCAGTCACTATCCCCAGAGTTTAGCAATATGAGTGGAAGGAGAATTTCTTTTTTTCCAATGGTCCCCTTGAAAATTTTAAGATGGAGATTTTCTGGCTTGGCTTGAATATCCATCTCTAATTTAATTATCCTCACCAGGGAGATAAATATCAGATTTTTCAAGCCTGGGTCACATGTTTACCCCTAGAATAGCGTGGAGATAAGAGACAGTCCCCTTGGATTACATGGGAGATGGGTGGTTTCCCAGAAGAAAATAGTTTTGTAATTTTTAAAAAAGTGAGGGGAATGGGTTCTAGGAGATACCAACAACAGGTGTCTTACACAAGCTCATTGTAGAGTCACCTTCTAGATGCTAATATTATAGGCACAGATCCTAATGTGTTTCCATATTCACTCTTAATGGAAGTTTCTCAATACCTCTGAGGCCTATGAGAAAGTCCATAGATGTCTTTGCTAGAATAGGTACTGGACATTTTTCCCTTCTGGAAAAAAAAGAGCACACTAATATTCCTTGTGATACACTGAACCCCTCATTTTCTGTTCAGGTGGAGCTAACCCACCTAAGTCTTCAAGCATGATGTTGTGACCTAAGCCCACTCTACAACTCTGGCCTCATGATCAGTTCTGAGATGATTATAGGATTTGATTCATACCAGAGTCATCATGTCCTGGGCATTAAAAAAAAAAAAAACAAAAAACCCACAAGCCTATGGGGCAGGGGGGTGGGAGGAGCTCTTTTCTTTGACTAGGATTGGTAAGAGGGTAGCCTTCTGGCTAGGAAATCCTAGAGGCCATCTTTTCACTGCCAGGATAAGGCTGGTCTGAAAATTATGCCAGAGAGAGGAAACCAGAACCCAGAGATGGAGCTTGAGCCCCTGGACACAGACATACACTGTTTGAGCCAACTAATAACATTCTTTTTTTCTTAAATTAAGCCCATTTGAGATGGATTTCTTGGTCACTTACAACTAAAAACCGCCCGACTGCTACTATCTAGATTCAAATACCAGTTTGGTCACTTTTATAAACTTGTCATCTTGGGTAAATTGACTAACCTCTCTGATTCTTGGCTGCTTTCTCTGTGGAGTGGAGACCATGTCCCTAGCAGGGGTTCCAGGAAATGAGGTTATAGCTGATGAGTACCGAGGACAGTTCCGGCAACGCCATGGGTACGTCATACAGGGATGGTTTATTGGCATTGGGAGAGCAGGAAACAGGAAAGCCAAAGGAAGTGGGATCAAGACCAAACTTGGATGACTGTTGGAGCCAAGAAACGATTTGATGTAAACGAGCTGTCTGGACGCAGAGAACAGGGAGGGCAGGGGACAACTGGAAGGCAAGTGTCCTCTTGAAAACATTCAAACTTGAAAATTCAAACTCTCTGTCAGGGGACAAACAAATTGAGGACACAGGCTGCCGGTTTACAAACCTTAAAAAGCAACTGAAACATGAATGTTTCATGGAGACCCCAGCTGTGAGCCAGGAGGTGCAGACATCCGGTTCCACACGTTTCCAGGGACAGGAAACTCCATGATGTCTCCATCAACAGCCTGCCTCTCCCAAAGCAAGAGAATCAAAGGGCCTTTGAGTCCAGGCTTTCCTTAATTTCAAAACCGAACATGACCACTCTTTATTTTTAACCTTCCCTTCCCCTAGTCTATGCCTTCAAGCAGCTTTTCTGGGGAGAGAGTGTTTGCGCCCACACTGGCAAATCTGAGTCCCTGGCCACGCGCCGGCTGCGACGGGGCTGTTGCCATGACCACCCACCCCAGCACCTGGAACCCAGCCTTTAGAGGGGCTCACTTGAGAACCTCACGAATGGTAAGAATCGTGGAACCCAAGTCCCCAAGGGACCTGGCTGAGGGCAAAGGGACCCTCACACTTGTCCCCTCCTTTGGAAGGAGTGTGCCTCTGCTCGGTTGGAGCTCCTGTGATGGTAGAGATGGTGAATCTCCTGTGAGCCGATGCTCACTGTGCTTCTACTTTTATCACATCCGCTTCCCAGAGAGGCCAGCAAACTGGCCTAGAGTCTCCAGGCTAATGGTGGCAGAGCCAGAATTTGAACCTCAGTGGTACAAACCTAGCGCTCCAACATAATAATCATAATGCCTACCAGGAAGAGAGCACTGAATGTGAATGTTTGGAGCCACTTGACAACGGTATTTATTTCTGCTAATGAGTAAAGAACCAAGATGCTTGGATGGCTCAGTGGGTTGACTGTCTCTTGATTTTGAGTCAGTTCATACTTCCAGAGACATGGGATTGAGCCCAGCATCAGGCTCTGCACTGAGCGTGGAGCCTGCTTGAGATTCTCTCTCTCTCCCTCTGCCCCTCTCCCTTGCTCTTTTTTTTTTTTTTAAATGTTTTATTTATTTCTAGGAGAGAGACAGACAGCGTGAACAGGGGAGGGTCAGAGAGAGAGGGAGTCACAGACTGAAACAGGCTCCAGGCTCAGAGCTGGCAGTCAACACAGAGCCCGACGCGGGGCACGAACCCAAGAACCGAAAGATCATGAACTAAGCGAAAGTCAGACGCTTAACCGACTAAGCCACCCAGGCGCCCCCCCTCTCTCTTGCTCTTGTGCTCTCTCTCTCTCTCTCTCTAAAATTAAAAAAAAAAAAAGAATCATCTGGCCCATACACCAGTTACCTCTCATTATGGCTAGTTCACTGGTCTTATACAAGTCCACAAATTCTTTGACACATCATCCACCCAAAGGTAGAGACTAATGCACCTCCCCTTGAGCATGGACTGCTTCTCACAAATAGAATGTGGCAGAAGTAATGCCTTGTGATTCCCCAGGCTGGGTTAAGAAAAGCTACTGAGCGTCCAGCTGACTCCGTGAGCTGTCTTGGGATGCTTGCTCTTGCCTAGGCTGCCATGCTGTGAGGAAGTGCAGCCACACAGGGGCCACATGTGGGTGCTCCCTTGAAGAGCTCCTGCTGAGTGAGGTCCCAGCCCACAGCCAGCATCGGCACATGAGTGGGGAAGCCTCTGAGATGCATCGAGGCCCAGCCACGAACTAACTGCAGCCAGGGAAGAACTCTGAACAGGCACCACACAGCTGCTCCCAGGTCAATTCCCAGGACCATGAGAGGTAATAATAAGTGGCTGACGTGAGCAACAGTTAGTGTCGATTAGTGCCTGTAAAAAATGATCAGTCTTTGGGCCCTGGCAAAAATAAATAAGTAAAATAAAATAGCAATGAGCTGTTTGACTTGTATGATTTTGCTCCAAACTGAATAGATTCCAATCCTACAAAATCTCATCTGGGCAACGCTCCACCTGCTTCTTTCATGGTGCTTTTATTAATTAATTGTGATGATGGTAGTGGTGGTGGTGGTGATTTGTGCTAGTGCTTCTTGAGAGCTTTGTGGTGCCACATAGGGAGCTAAGGGCTTCACCTACATTGTTTCTCTCTCTCTCTCTCTTTTTCCTTGAAACATTTCCATGGTATTGTCAGGTTTTGAGGTTTGGGACTGTGCTCAAGGAGCTAAGGTGTCCAGAGACGCACAGCTAGGATGCAGCAAAACCAGTTGTCATGGATTCCTGGTGCAACGTGGATGAAGTGAGCTCCTACTACGTGCCCCACTCTGTGCCAGACTTGGGAGACACTGTGGAGAAGACTTCATGCATGCAGACTCCAGGGCAGTGGCAGCTAATAAGGAAACAGACAAGCAAGCAAGTCAGTCATAACTAACCACATTGCTGTGTAACCCTTGCTGGGAGGAGCAATGAGGCTGGTCGTAGCCCAAGAGCTGCCTTCGATCCCCTCCGAGGAAGTGGCCTTTGTGGGACATGCATCCTGGGCAGCAGAAACACCCAGAGGGGAGCCAGAGTTGGGTGAAGGACCTGGCACATTCAAGAAGCAAAATAAAGAGGCCAGTCTTGAAGGGAACAAAAGAAAACAGGGCACAAAATGAAGACTAAGAAGGAGATGAGGCCAGATGTCACATGACCCTGTTGGCCAAGGTGAAGAATGTAGGTCTGTTCTAAGAAACATGGGAAATGTGGAAGTTTTTGCTTTTTAATTGGGTAGTGACATGATCTGGTTAACTTCTGAAAAGGTGGCATTTCTGGCTGTTCCCTGGACCAAGCCCAAGGGGGTGATGGATAGACTGGGAAACTACTCGGTGTTGGTGGAAGGGAATACAATTGGACTATGTAACACTGAACTTGAACTGAACATCAGACCCTTGGGATCTGAGACTTGAACTGTTTGGCCTGACCAGAACACTCTCTCCTGAGTGAGAGTTCTCTCTACTCAGGCAACAGGGACTTGACAAACCAGTGTGTGGAAGGGCCCAAATGATAAGGTTGTGAATTCAGGATGATAGAGTGGGCCAGGAACATGAGAGGTAGAGGGTAGCCACAATAGTTTCCATTAATTAAAAAATATATATTACCTAAAAGTACAATGTGCAATTCTATGCTGGCAAACTAGAAAATCTTGATGAAATTGATATGTCTCTGGAAAACAGTTACTAGCATTCTTTCCTAGTATAATATAATCTTAAATAAAGTAGCATAGTGATTAAGAGTGTAGGCTCCTCCATCAGATGGATGTGGGTTCAAATCCAGCCTCCACTGCTTACTAGCTGTGTGATCTCGAGCAACACTCAATTTCTTCCCTTGTATTTTATTTTATTTTATTTTATTTTATTTTATTTTATTTTATTTTTTTGAGAGAGAGAGTGGGGGAGGGGCAGAGATAGAGGGAGACAGAGGATCTGAAGCAGGCTCTGCACTGATAGCAGGGAACGCAAAGCAGGTCATGAGATCATGACCTGAGATAAGCCAAAGTCAGATGCTTAACCGACTGAGCCACCCAGGCACCCCAGTTTCTTCCTTTGTAAAATGAAGATAAAGAGAACAAGAAGCATGCAGAACATATGTGAAGAAAAATCATCCAGGGAATTTAAAACAAGATCAGACCAACAGAATTAAAGAACGATTATTCCATAATGTCAGTTCTTCCTAAACAAATACATGGGTTTGATGCAATCCTAATAAATATCCCCATACAGCTAATTTTATATTTGTTGTACTTGTTTGCCTTCGGCAGGAAGGAAGAGAATTTGACAAAGTAACTCTAAAATTCAACCAGGTAAGTAAATGGCCAAAAGAGCCAAGAATGACTTCAAAGTGAAGAATAATTAAGGGACACACTGAATCCAGATACTAAAATGGGCTATAAAGTTTCAAAGATGAGAAAAGCATAGTGCACGTAAGTACTGAAACACAGATCAATGGAATAGAGCAGATGATGCTGAGACGATCTTTCAAGTACCTGACTTTATGAGATAATAAAAGCAGCCACACAAAGGCAAGAAAGAAAAAAGTATTCAATAAATGACAGTGGGATAGTTGATTAATATTTGGGGGGAGGAATAAATAAAGCAAAATTAAATTTTCATCTCACACTATACATCATGTAAATTCCAGATTGAATAAAGAGTATAAAGTAATTTAAAAGTTAATTGAAACTAATAAACAATCTAGACTTCTGGGGACAAAGGAAACTTCTGGGGACAAAGGAAACTTGATCACTTGATCCCATATCTAACATCTTTCTGGTCCTCCTACCTCCCAGATGCCTGTTTTTATTTTATTTTATTTTATTTTATTTTAATTTTATTATTTTATTTATTTATTTATTTTTTAAATGTTTATTTCTGAGAGAGAGACAGAGTGCGAGAGGGGGAAGGGCAGAGAGAGAAGGAGACACAAAATCCAAAACAGGCTCCAGGCTCCGAGCTGTCAGCACAGAGCCCCACTCATGGCTCAAACCGATGAACCATGAGATCGTAACCTGAGCCAAAGTCAGATGCTTAACCTACTGAGCCACCCAGGCACCCCGATACCCATTTTTAAAAACTTTGATATGTATAGGGACGGTTGGGTAGCTCAGTCAGTTAAATGTCAGCTCTTGATCTCAGCTCAGGTCTTGCTCAGGATCACAGTTCAAGTTTCTTAAAACTTAAAAAAATGTTAAAAAATAAATATGTGTGTATATATAAGTTTATACATAAAAATATATATGTTTGTATGTGTACACATATGTGTGTTCACACAATATATATACTTATATAAAACCTACTAATTT